GTGTGTGTGTGTGTGTGTGTGTGTGTGTATATAAAATAATATAATAATATAATATTTTAATTTTACAATGTGTTTTAATTCTGATATATTTATCAAAGTTTGACGCTGCTATTATTGAATTTTTATATAAGAAATTCGAGTATTAAAAACTTTTTACTCCATGAACGTTGGATCATTCAATCATAATTCAATGAATAAATAATATTATGCTATTAGAAGCGATTATGACGTCCGATACATTTACTTAATGCGATTCAATCAACACAAAGAGTCTTTTGTCCATTCTCAGCGCCAAACAATGCATTTATCCAATTCTCGTAAATTTATGAATTATCGGATTTCTCATAGAGATTATATCACTTATTAATAACAAAATATTTGCAGAATCGACACCCGTTAGCTGGGAGGAATGGTGGACATACGACGGTATTTCTGGTAAGCCAGATCGGTTTCCAAATTGGTATCATTATCAATTAAATATCCTTCTCTTTATCTAATATGATCTGAAAATTCCTTCGATTATTTAAAGGTCCTGCCTTCTGGGGTCTCATCAACCCGGAATGGTGGCTCTGTAACAAAGGTCGAAGACAATCACCAGTCAATCTCGATCCTAATCAACTGCTTTTCGACCCAAATTTACAACCGCTTCATTTGGATAAGCACAGAATCAACGGCGTATTGGCGAACACCGGCCATAGTGTTGTGTTCGCTGTGGAGAACGACACCCGCCATCCCGTCAATATCTCCGGTGGTCCGCTCAGTTATCGTTATCAATTTCACGAGATTCATTTGCACTTCGGCGCGGATGATCGCATCGGCAGCGAGCACACCGTCGATGGACATGCGTTTCCTGCCGAGGTACGAAATGACAAAGAGACAAATAAAAATATTTCAAAACCTCCGACATTCCTCGCGATTTTTTTTCGTTTCAACTTCAAAGCTTGTTTGTGAAAGAATCGAAATTAAATTCTCGTTGATGCACTTAAGTTAAAAAGGAAAAAAACTTCTTTAATCTTGAGTCTCTAAATACATTCAAAGCCTTTTTTTCTCGTAGCTTCAGATATTCGGCTTCAACTCGCAGCTTTATAACAACTTCTCGGATGCCTTGCACAGGGCGCAGGGGATCGTAGCGGTATCGCTTCTTTTACAGGTATATGCCCAATCTCTCCTATAAATGCTTATCACATGTTAAATAAAGCTCGGAATAAGCGATACGTCATAGACGATCTCGGTCCTTTTCTAGGTGGGCGACCTCTCGAACCCGGAGTTGAGAACGTTCACGCAGCAGCTGGATAAAATCAAATACGGAGGTGAGAAATCCAATAACGTAACAAATTCCGGGATAACATTACGACGCGGAGGAGTAGCGATCAATTCAACAAAAACGATAATCTATTTTAGCAGACGAATTTTAGCTGCATGAGTTTAAAAATTCTCAGAGAGTTCTCATATTAGTCAAGATTAGCATATCGAATGAATTAATGCAGGATTACATTTCTTTCATAACGACGCAACGAACGAATATTTATAAAATACCATTTTTTTTGCAGTGATGAATAATGTTTAACTCAAATAACATTTTAACGATACATTTTAATAACACGTTAAGAATTTTCTTCCACAAATCGATAATTGATAAAAACTGAAATATGTATATTAACGCGTTCATTTTTCATTTTTTCTTTTTTCTCTATAAATTAATGTTTTGAGATAAAAGTACAATTCGAATGAAAAAGCTGCAAGATTGATGTACCTTCGAAAGTTTGATGGCAGCATGCGTTATAACTTTTTAAAAACTTTGCACGGGCTATTGTCGCCAACTTTTTATCGGAAAGATAAATCGATAATTACCATCATTCTTTAAGGGAACGCGAGTGTTCTTTGACGTATGCAAATACAATCGAGCGGTGTATGCACGATAACTTTAGTGATACGTAACAATATGCGTATCAGCTGTGTATACCGTGGCATCGGGCAGCAATCGGGCAGTAACACGCGTACATTGCATGTGTATGCATTACGTATACACGAACGAAGTTGACGTTATCGATCGTATGAATTGCACAGGGCAGGCCATGGAAATTAAACGTTTCGGGGTGCGCGAACTTCTGCCGGACACGAAGCATTACATGACGTATGACGGCTCCACCACGATGCCGGCGTGTCACGAGACCACTACATGGATCATCCTCAACAAGCCTATATACATCACCAAGCAGCAGGCAAGTATCGCCGCTACCGACTCTTATAAAATGCATGCACACGTCCCCCGCACTCGAGCGTTCGCGCGACGCGAAGTATGGCCCCACTCAATTATGCAATTTTGATCATTAAGAGAGACAGAATCTTTGAAACATCGAGGAACGACGGTCGTGCTTTAACGAATGGATAAAGTAAGTTGCGAAATAAAGGTGGAAATGAGGCACTTACTAAGCTCGTACCTTGGAGCAATGTCATCAATCATAAATCACGCTTGACAGGTTTTACAGAAATCTGTAAAAAAAAAGACAGTGTTTGACATTTAGTCGTTTGTTCTTTCAAGCGTAAAATTGAACAAGAAATGTTTTGATTTCAAGAATGAACAAATTCTCTATAGTATAAATAACAGCAAAAATAAAAAAGTATTTAAAATCTTGTTTCTTCACAATAATCTTATTGTAGCGCACGAAATATGTATGTATATTGGCGAATACGTAATTAACTCAGTGAGTTGCTGTTTAGCTTTTTCTCAAGTTAAGTACAGCAGCTGACTTTATTAATAGAATGAAGTTTCATTGAGAGACCTTATAAAAATAGCTGCGAGTAGTAAACCGACAAATGTTTGTTTCTAATGTATAACTTAAGCAATCTCATACTCATATAATAATATTTGTGATAATCGATCACGTATTTAAATTAGCTATTCCATCGGAATTGCAAATTCTGTTATTATTGATATCGATCGCATTCAGCGAGGCATTAAAATCACTTGTGCCTCATACCATTATTCAATAACGAATGTTGATTCAGATTAAGGATGATTTTTATTTTTTATTTTTTGGGCATAATGTTTATGTAATATTCAAGCTCACTCATGATTATAAATACAAAAAATACATCGGTAAATACAATCTCTTTATACGAACGAATTATATCACATTCATATAAAAATATATTATTTTTCTGTTAAATTTAAATAGTTTAATAATATCTTTTACTTATCTCAAATACTCTGTAAAAGAGGAACAGCACCCAAAGTATTAAACTCTGAATTACTTATATTATGCTTTGCAATTCTTATTTCCATAATTATTGTAGTTACACGCTCTGAGGCAGTTAATGCAAGGGGATGAAAAACAGCCAAATGCACCGCTTGCGAATAACTTTAGACCACCGCAACCTCTTCATCATCGTCCCGTTCGGACAAACATTGATTTCAATGTTCAGGTATGCTATAATAGTATCAATATGTATTTTTTCTATTATAAAAATCATTGCGCTAATTCTTATATCATGTGTTCAGGGTCCGAAGAATTGTCCGACGATGAACAAGGACATATATTACAAAGGTATTAATAAGCAAAATTGATCAAACTCTTATATATAGACCAATAAAATAAAATTAATATATACATTTCTAATTTTCATAAAATTTACAAAATTACGTACAATTTTCTTTTTTTTAAATTATGAGAATTTTTATTGAGTTATTATTAGAATCTCTTTGCCTAGAAGCTGCCACAGCTTATAAAAAAGCATATTTTTTCTCTGATAAAAATCATTCCATTGTATATCCTTTCAGCCAATAGCTGGAAATAATACCCAGCACTGCCGTGAGATCAACATTCGCAGTAACTACGCTTCTCCCCGGAACGAGCTGGAACTTCGCTGTAAGGAAAAAAATTGACATATCAATTACAGGCGGGTGACGCCGGGTCACAAAAAAAATTACGGCAGATAGAACGCGCGAAGAAGACGACCGTCGACGCCCACGTTGAGGTCAAGATAAAAAAAAATGCTTCGTTGTACTTATTAGACGTGAATTGCCAAGTATGTTTCCAGTTAAATCAGAAGAAGAAAAACCAAATATACCTATAGATCACAAGTTAGACGAGATAAGCTAATCGTAAGATCTATTATTATATATATATCGGTAAACTATCGAAAAAAGCTATGACTATCGTGGCCTGCGCGAGGGGTTGAAAGATGCAATTATATGTATAAAAATTCACGCGCAACGGAGAGCGCTATCGCGAGCAAAAGTTTATACTATATTCTTATAATAAAAGCTTGAAAAAATGCATAAAATGAGACATTTCCCGGTAGTTTTGCTCGATTTTTCCTCTACTCATCAATTAACCATTCTTGTCCTATATAAAGAAATTTGCAATTCTTCTTATCTTCGCAAAATTCATCTAAACAATGATTATTTGTTTATAATTAATATATCCTGGTATTATTTTTAATAAATGTTTGAAAGTGCGATTGAATTTCTTCATCATCTTCGCTAATTGCAAACTATTTCCCATTTTGCTATTATCGATTTTCTTTCACAGATTTTCTTATCTAAATAATAGCTGCCTATGCTTCGATATTGTTAGTAACTTCAAAGTACTTTGCTATCTATAAAGTAGTGATACAACTGATAGATCAGAAATTAAAGTTTGCAGAGACTTGAACTGAATATCGCAAGTGCACCTAGTCGATAACGCAGAATCTGCGAGCAGAACCCAGTTAATCCTAACCCAACGTTCAAACGACAACCTTAACATCGCAGCTATCCAAAGGGAAAATCGATTTCTCTTCGAAGTAGCTGCGCCTGCACCAGTCAGACCATTATCAGCTTTCAACGGATTCCGCGCTGTTGCGCCTCTATCGCTTCACGTCCTTGTGACCGATCCTACTGAGGTACGTGAAACACGGAACTCTTCTTCTCGGAATCCTTGCCTCGCAAGAGACTAAGATACACCAAAGAAAAGTCTCAAAGAATGTTGAAGAAGCAAATGGGGTTGAATGTAGGAAGGGGAGGATATTACTATCATTGAACCGCTACCCAGAATTCGACGGTGCTGCCCGCAAACGGCTATGCGACTAGGAAACCGGAAAGGGGTGAACGGCACATAGCGGGGGATGGTGTACTGAGAGAACGAGAGGAAGAGAGAGGGATAAAGAGGGAGAAAGAGAGAGGGAAACGCAAAGTGGGAAGATTCGTTCGAGAGAAAGGTGTAGGCGGGGGTGGAGGACAGAGGACGCAGAGGAGAGGGCGCCGCGTGCGCGAGAGAGGGACGGGTACGCGGATACAGATCCGTCGTGTCGGTGGCCGCTGCGGCAAATCTGCGGCTCTCCGCGGCCGTTCGTCGAAAGACGGAGAGTGACGTGATATCAGGGCACCCGGCCTGGATTTGGGTGCCAACGCGCTGTTTGCAATCCTCCAATCGATCGCCTGCAGTATCTTTCGGAATAAATCTAAAGACCATATCCTCCGAAAGAGATGGACTCCGATGATGAAACGATCTCCGTGCAATCTCTGTCACATCTCTCGCGCAATCCAGCAGAGATCAAATTTGATCAGAGCGACTTGTGCGGATGCCTGTTGTCGTCGAGACTCTGCCGGTATAGAGATTAATTGATCGGCGAAGAGAGGAAAGCGTTGGAGGACATCGATGTCAGTCGACGACCTCATGGCGCAGGTGGGGGGTGTTCTCTCGTGAGAACGAACACGGAGAAGTTTACAGTGGAGGGTACGCATGATGAGGAAAAACGTTGGGAAGTGCGTGTAGCGACGTGTAGAGAGGCATCGCCATTTGTTTCGGAGAAAGAAAGAAATGATAAAATGTTCTCCGTTCACTCTTTCGTTCCTCGCAGGAATTCCGATAAGAACAATCGTATCCGCGAAGGTCGTTTGTCCTTCGATTGAAGGGCAAAGGTCGATTGATCTTTCGGTACGCAATCGTGGTGGTATAGTAGACAACAAAGTTTGCGTGAAGTCGCTGGACCTGTAAGTTGTTGTGGAACTGTAAGTTGCGGAGAGAACGACTGCGCGATATGGAGTCGATGAAATTCCGAGGGTGTGAGACACAGTGTACGTTCATCTTTAAGGTCGGTGGGAGGCTGTAAACGGTCCCGTGATTGGTTAAACGCGTCCGCGGGAATCTTTTTCATCCTGTTACATGCGCTAATTCGAATTCACGAGGCGAGTTTACGTATTTGAGGTACTGATGAAGGCCTGCGGTTGATAGCCGACCAACATCGCGTTCGTCAGTTAAGCCAAAGATCGGCCAACATCGCAGAGAGAAAGGGGGAGAAGCAAAGGAAGACCGAAGGGAGGTCAAAAAGGATCCGAGTTGACGAAGTTCAGTACCGCGATCGACGTTGCTAATTTGCGCGACGAAGCACCTTGACGACGTTTACGAGCTAGATGGACTCTAGTAAACTGAAACTACCCGTACTACTCGCCGCCAATTCGACGAGAAACTTTCGCCCAACTCAATTACGCTGCAATCGTGTCATATTCCGCGCCTGCGAAAGCCAGCGGAAAGGTGACACCGACCTACTCTTCGCCGCAACTTGGCAGATTCGTGTTCCATGAAAGAGCTAATCGTGGTACTACGAACACTTCTTCACGATTAATTTATGATAAGTGTAGTAAGCGGCCTGGTGTGGATTACGACGCGCGCCGATGGGATGGGACGGGGCGAGGGAGGGATGTTAGTAGCACCGTTAGCAGATTCAGCAATTAATATGGCGAGACAGGCATATTCCATCGTTGATTAATATGCTGACCGCGTAGACGAGCACCGAGGCGGGATTTAAAATTCATATCGGTCGCATAATCGATAGTTTGTCACGCGCGCTCTCTTTCTGATTTCCATTCTATACTTATGTGAGCCGCATATTAAATAAACAGCATCGTGGTACGATCATCGCAAGCTCGAACGGGGAACTTGTCCTGGTACTTCACACGCAAGTAAGTGTATTTCACTCCGACGTCGGTGATAACGTTAAGAATATAATTTATATGAGACTCGTAATCTTCTTCTAGATTATCGCAGCAGTTATAAAGGAGAATGACTGGCTGGATTATGGTTCGCGCGCGCTTATGGCATTCACTTAATCAGGATGAGCTCTGAGAACTCGCTGACAATGCTGCTGGTGCGACAGAACCTGGAGAACTGGTCTGCGAAATGAATACCTCTGAGAGGAACAATGGAAGCGTCCACGCGAGCATGACGGCCTCATTCGGTGTCGTGGACGGCACGCTTAGACGGCCAGAAATGAGACTCTCGAGTAAGACTGAGAAACTTCTCGTCCGTAATTCTATTTCCTCCCTTTTGTTCTACTCGCGCAATGCTACCCGACGTTTTCACGCATTCCGACATGTTATCTGTTTTAAATAGCTACGAACTTTCAAGCACATGTGTAAAGATATCTTTAGATAAGATACCTTCTACATATGAAATTCGTCTCTCATAGAAATCGAGGATCGTGATGAACGATCGTTTCGTATTAGCTCTTCCCCACAGCTCAAGATAATTCTCTTCTAATCTGTCACAAGCTATCTGTTATTCCAGCAATGTAATATTTCTCCTTTTATGCGCGACATCTTTTGTAGGTCGCCGTCCTATTCTTCTGCCTATATTAAATTCCTGTTTTCCGTGATAGCAATTCGCTACTTTTGCGTTCGAACTCTAACAGTGTCTGACGACGATAAATTTGTCGCGACGTGAGCACAAACCTTTGATAGGATACCACAACAACCGCAAAGTATTGAATACACAAACAATCGATTACGCTGATGCGAGGCCTTTGTTTCGTAGATCGTCAGTGAAACGGAGAACTGTTGTCGTCATCGTTACCGTGTTGCGGTGGAGCCAGCTGCCTGTTCTCGCCTCGAGGCGAGAAGAGGATCAGACGGGATCAGTCAGACATCGGGTAGACACCGATAAAAGGACGGTGTTATGTTAGTGACAAGGCCTCACCCTCTAGGAGGGCGCATACTACTCGCCCTCTTCCTTTTAACGGGGTGTTTCGCTTTGCTGTCACGGGCGGCCGCTTTCCCGGATTGGACTGACTGTCCTGCGGTTTGCCGATGCAAATGGACCTCCGGCAAGAAGTCCGCTTTGTGTCCAGACGCCGGTCTAACATCGCTGCCGGCGTCCCTCGATCCGGACATGCAAGTGCTCGACTTGTCCGGCAACAAGATACCTGCTCTGAAAGAGGAGATATTCAAACTGGCCGGCCTGGTGAATCTGCAACGGGTCTTCTTGCGTAATGCCGGTATCTACAGTATCCATGCGAATTCTTTCAAAGATATGAGGATACTCATCGAAATCGATCTGTCAGACAATCATGTAATGACCTTGGAGCCGGATACATTTCTCGGAAACGAGCGCTTGCGCATTTTGATACTTAGCGGAAATCCACTCGGTACTTTGCGTAATCTACAGTTCCCTGTACTACAGCATCTGCGAAATTTAGAGCTACAACGGTGCTCTTTAACTGAAGTACATGGACAAGCCTTTGCCCGACTAACCGGCTTAGAATTCTTGAAGTTGGATACTAATCAACTAGAATATTTGGAATCCTCGGTAATATCCGGATTAGCTCGCTTGAAAACCTTAACGCTAGATGGCAATCGATGGAGGTGCGACTGCAGACTACGAGATTTCCGCACCTGGCTTATTCCCGATGTACCCAGCAAGTTGTACTCCGTGCCACAAATTTGTTCAGGTCCACCGAGATTGGAAGGTCGTAGGTGGGAGGATGTAAAACCTACAGAATTTGCTTGTGAACCAAAAGTATTCGTCCTGGCAAGCAGCATACAAGAGGAGACTAATGGTAACCTCAGCTTGGCGTGTCGAACGAGCGGCGATCCCGAGCCAGAAGTTTGGTGGCAATTAAACGGTGGACCAGTCAATGCTACCAAATCGACTGATCAACCCTATATGGGGACTCTCGTCATTTACGCAACGTCCGAAGCTGGCATACTTTCCAACGACAAGTCTGCGTCCAGAACCGTTGGAGATCGATGGAGTAACCTGACCGTTTACAATGCCAGTGACAGCGATGCCGGCGAATATGCATGTTTTGCAAAGAATATCGCTGGTCTCGCGCGAGACACAGTCAGTGTGGCAATACCTCGTGTTTATACGGCTCCGACTCTCTCCCAGAGCGACAACTGGCTGCTCTGGGTAAGTTTGGCTGGAGGCGGCGCGGCTGCCGCGTGTGCTTCCATCTCGGCTGTGTTGCTGATTCTTTGTTTGTGCGGTGGAAATCGACGACACAGTAAACGAGAGAAGGTGAAGCTGCAAAGCAGCAGCAGTTTCGGCGACCAGGAGAAGAAGCTGCTAGACCTGTCCGTGACTACCACCACGACGCCCGGCAATAGTAATGATCGCGGCAGCGGTCACGGCAGCATCGGTGAGGCGTGTAGCACCGGTGACCTCGAATTGGCGGAGCGCAGCTCTATTTGTGATCCTATGGCTGCGGCCGCGGTCACTGTCGAACGACTGCGACCCGCGGACAATTCGGTGAACACCATTCGCGCGGTTCCATGCGCCGCCACGGCCACCGCCGGTGTATTTCCGCCCCCGCCGCCGGAATTTACCACCGGTGTGCTGCCGGCTGGGATCTTCGGCAATATCTTCATTTCCGTGTCATTGCCGCAGGACGCGTCGTCGGAACGCTGCTATCCGGATCTTCTCGACATCCCCGTCCACGCGGTTAGCAGCGCTACAACCACCGTTTCGACTGGCGGCAAGACTGCGGCTTTGTCATCAGCAACGGCAATCAACGTATCTAGCTTCGCCACGCTGCCGCGTCGGGCCTTGCGCTCCACCGAGATTGCCGCCGGCTCGCCTTATGACAATATGGGACCGCGCATTACGGCAAACGGTAGTTCCGCGTTCTCATTAACGGACATGACGGACATGGACCTGCGGCTATCGCCGCCACCACCGCCGCGGATCATTCAACCACCGCATGAGTTCGTTTCCCTCTAAAACACCGGATTCTTTTCCACACCGATTCGTATTGTCGCGCAATACTGATTTCATAATCGATAATATTCTGCTAATAGTGTTATCCTAATATACTGTGGAATATCCATTAGCAGCCAAGTATTATTGGATAACATCAATTAGCGTGCGGTAATACTAACCGTGTCAGGAATGGCTCACAAATCGACTCTTTGAAAACGCATGTGCTCGCTTTGAACGAGTGATCCGTATACGCTTTCTCGGTGGAGTTTTAAAGATGTGCCGAATCATCCTATCATGTATCGGTGTCGCAAATTTGATAGTGACGTTGTATTGATTGTACTGAAAAATTTTTATCTCGATATTACGCGTTCATTGAGTCATGGACATTACAAATTTTGCAGCCTTAAAATATTAATCGTAATTCTGGACTGCCATTTATAAAATCAAAATTTCTAAATATTTATTTATGAAGATAAGTTACATAATACAAGTGAATAAGAATCTTTTAGGAATTAAAAGTTTTATCATTAAACGTCGAATATTGTGTCGCTTTTTGTGCACCTAATCTCTATTTGTTATATAAAAAATTATATAAAACTCAATCAATGATCAATAATCAAATGCAGATAACTCGAATATTTAAAGACATACAAAATGTCTTTAATATTTTTTCATTATCTTCTGGACTTCCGCATTGCATTTAGAAAAATGTAATGAGTAGAGCATATCTCTAAGTGACTCTCGAGTATTTCATTATACATTGACAAGAAACATGTAAACAATTACATAATTTTAGGAAATGGTCTCAACACATGTCGATGTACAATGGGTGTTTTTCATTCATATAATTTATGGAGACAATTAATTATTATAAACATAAATAGAAAGAATTATTATGCGTGAAATTTAATACGCATAATATAATATGTAATTTTCGTAATAACAATGTGATTTAATAATATGAACATAAAATTTAATAATATGAAAAATAAGGTTTATAATTTTAATTACATTTTAAATAAGTTTATATTTACATCTACATTCGAAAGATATATAATATTATTTTATAATTTAACAAGTTTTTTTTTAATAAATAAATCAAGATTATTTGCTTTTTATAAATGTCATTATCGAAAAATTAAAAATTGGCAGTATATCTTTGTGGAAAAATACTATCAGATTAATAAGAAAATCATTGAAATGAATACAATATTCGATTCAATTTTACAATTATTTTCCATCGTTTTTTCACGAGGTCAATAGTACTTTTCTATAAGAGGACTCTTCCATAATCGTGATAACGATAGCGATGAATAGATCTGTTTTTCATTGTTGTACAATTTGCACTAAAATTTTCACCAAACTTCATATCTATTTCCATCTATTTCATTTTATAAGTATACTAATTTAGCTATAAATAATAGATTTATATTATTATTTTCAGATTTTTTTTCTTTGTTTCATAGTTGGTTTCATTTACAATTGTTTGTATCGCAACAAATAGAAAGATTTTTTATTTTTATAATTTAAATCTCTTTCCCTTCCGTTCATCTTCGCTACTAACATAATTAATTAATCTCGATTATGTCGTCAATTTGAATTATAAATAGAAAGCAAAAATAATTAAAAGTTCATAGTTAACTTTCATCACTGAATGGAAAACACCCATTTTTGGTGGGCACTTCGCAAATCGCATGAGTAGTTATCGGCGAATAGCCGGACATCTCTTGGGAAACAACGAGAATGTAATCGTGATTAGACATCTCCCGCGGGTGCAGTTTAAATCGACGTGGTTCTTCCCTTCGGCATGCAGCGCGTTCGGCGAATGCAGAGAAAGCGCCAAGAGAGAAAATCGATATCTCACTGTGTCGCGGCCGGCGTGTCACCGAGATTAGTATACGAAGCATTCGATCGAAGGACTGATATCGGCCACGATTGTCCGATCTATTGAATATCTGTCTGTCTATGCTTGTCTGCCTGCCTTGCCCACTTGTCTGGCCAGCTGCCCGCGGCCGCTTGCGCCCATAATGAGTGTGTATGAATGATGGATGGATGCGTGAAGAACGTCTTAGACCTAAGTCTCTTCTAGTCTGCTAACAAATAACCTGAAATGAGGCGACTGTTTGTATATACACTTCATGACTACTTCTTCAAGACGAGTGGACCTTTAATTAATTAGCGCGAGCGAACTGGCCGCGTCTCATTATCTTCCCTTCCATTCATTCTCCAAAGTGTATCACTAGTTTGTTACATATTCTCTACGTGTGTACATATTTGTTATTATATCACATATTCGTGTACACGTGCGACTTGGACGTTACGAGTGTCACACGCGCACGCCGGTGCGTTATACACGAGATATTCATTATGAACACTTTGTCAATTAATAAAATCATTGAATTTTACATACATCGAGTCAATGATTTGTATTGTCTTATTACGTTCGTTGTACATTTCGTGAGAAAATGATGTACTGCGTATCGTATTATCTTCAATTGAATTCGATATAACATTTATAACATTCATCGGCGTGTAAATCACATTTTTTCAGATGAAAAATCAACGGAAGCATTGAAAATTGAAACAATATAGCATTGTTTTTCTGTATCCAATTTATACACTAACAATAAAACGAACTATGAGGATTGTTCTTTTCCTATAAGATTTTACCTGTAATATAATTGGCTACGGTTTTCTATATTATGTACTAAAAGTGTTGTATCAAATTTCAAATGTTGTTAGTAATAGAATCTATTTGTAAATTGTTATATGTAATCAAATAATTATGAGGAACACACTATTATATATTTTTAATTGAATTTTTGAAAATATGTACAGTCGTCAAAAACAGATCCACCAATTAGCTGAGCGTGTAAATCAAACTTTTATTTCTATTCTCCATTATTTGTATATAAAAATAAACATTGAATTGGATCGAATATTTCGGAATAAAAATTTGCTTAAAATATCAAGTTACATCAAGATTGGTTGCATACCAAATTACATCAAGATTGGTTGCTTCACCAGAGAATTGTTTCGTGACGATACTAGGCGACAGGATTGCATGTAAGATTACAAAGTACAGTATTTAAGTACAGATTATGTATTGTTGCATAATTTGCGTACAAAGTGCAAGGGTAAGATGGATCGCCTATGCAAATAGGAAAAACAAAAGCATCACACGTTACATTTCTGACGTTTCTGACATTTTTGACAATAAATTCCTTCTTTGTCTCAAGTCAATATCCGTCAAATTCGCGAGGCGCGAATCGTGATCAAAGATGGCAAGTTACAGGAAACTCATTGCGTCGTGTTCATTCTCGCGACCTAGTCTCGGAGTGTATCCTCCTTGACCTTGACTATTTCGAGAACCTGGAAAGAGATCAATCACATTGCAGAACGCGAAAAATCGCACGTGGACTGTTTTAAATTGCTCGCATTTAAGGATTAATGAAGCAGTGACGCTCTTTTCTTTATACGACGCTATTCTTTATGGAAAAGCGTTTCGCGTAATGTCAAAGAATGAATGACGTCGTATATTATAGTCGATATCTGTTCAACATACGCGACGTGCTCCAAGTATTCCGAGAGAGAATATTTAATTTAGCGAAAATAATATGATCAATACCTTTTGTAACATTTAAAGACGTTGGCGTTTATTATTACAAACGTACTGTTAATGCTCTTTTGAACAATGCATCCTTAGCTTCATATAGATTTTGAGATAAAATTGAAACATTTTTCAATATTTTTTTTTTTTAATGAGATCAATTTAAGGAACAATTGGTTACTTTCATAAATCTTAAATCGCAAAACGTGCGAATAAATCAACGGATTAATACTAGAAGTATCGAGCAGTTATTAATAACCATGTCTGTTTTTTAGATTAATATATTTCTTGCAAAAAATAGGATTTTGAAAATTTTTATTTTTCAATAATTATACTGATAAAATTCTTTATACAGATAAAATATTTTTATCATTTTCTCTATTTCCATAATAATTTATCTTTGATCCTTTTAATGAATAACAAACATTGGTACTTCTAGTGTTAATTAATATCATCGTAATAAAAGGTAAAAGTAAGATCCTTTTATTCATACCTCGTAAAATAGAGTAATATCGAGGATTGTCGATTTTTTGTACGAAACGAAGATCCTTGTATCCATGTACATGATCGGGCATTAACCAGGCATCGTCTTTCTGAATTTTGTCAGCATGTTTAAATGCTATCGGTCTATCTGCGTAATCTAATCATAAAAAAGTACAGTTAACAATTGCCTTCCTGTAGATAAAAATGTAAATATCTAAATACATTTTATTGTATGCATTTTGTTTAAAAATGATAAACGGATCCTGAGGTGGATCGTCCGACGTCGTTCAAATCAATTTATTAAAAACTGCAAGCGCATGCCACATAATGCAGCATTGTTTCGCACAAATGCAGATATTCGCGCTTATATTTTTTCATAAAATTTATTCAATCCGATAAAAGCCGCTTTAATTAATAACGGCATCGCGGATATTGATCTGACGTGAAATGCGTTAAATGTTTATTGCAAGGTAACATCCGTATAGCCAACGTTTACATACTAAAATATTTTACAGTAATTGCCTCATTAAACTTCCAATTTACTTCAAAAAGTTGGCTATCAATAATGTTATTAAAAATATTCTAATAAGTCATTATAATTTCTTATTTATAAGAATTATTTCTTTTCGATAATCTTCATATGTGAAGAAATTATTCTTAAAGGTTTAATGCACTCTTTGACATTCCGACATTATTTTTCTAAATTTTCCACACCTTCATCAAGATTTAAAAGAACTTCAGATTCCACATCGCGTGGAATGTAGAACTCCATATCGGCATCAGCTGATAAATCCTGAAATCGATTCAAATTGCTCGATTCATCGGATCGTCCGATTCGGGGCTTATGTATTATTCCAAAAGCACGCTCCATTCTAGGAAAATTCGCTATTTCCGAATTTCGGCCGATTCTTGGATATGCCACCAATCCAGCGGAACGTCTATCATTGATTTTCAATTTTTGACCCTCTAGAACGTGAACGATACGAAATAATTAGAATATCAAATGATCGAAATTATTTTGTTGTATGTTCTTTTTGGAACAATATCTTCTGCTTTCTTCTAACATAATTAGTTATCCGAGACTAATGCATCTAATAATTTTCCAATTACACAAATAATACAATAACATGAATTAAAAAAAACACTAGAAATAGAGACATTACAAGACAATTACAAATTATTTCAAATAAATTTTTTTCATAATCTAATATGTGTATATATACTAAAGCGAATTATTTTGTGCATGTACTATTATACACATACGTGCTTTGTAAACATAAAAAAACTTATTATATATAAAAATAAAATTATAAATATACAATATGTATATTCAAAATCTAAAAATTATTTGGAGGGACAGGACAGTATTAAGAAAAATAAAAATCTATATTTCTTTACTAAAATTTAAACAAAAATTTGTATAATTTAATTTTTTTCAATTAAGATATATATTAAGCATCGTAATTTTAAAGAAACTAAATGTACAATCAGTAATACGCTCAAGCGTCACAAGAGAATTTAAAAAACATCCAAAATTTGAAATACATTTTAAAAAATATGAGTAGAGCATAGTGTTTTGATTGATGATAGTTGTAACATTTGTGTGCATATGTTTTGATATTTATGTATGAAACAATAAAAAAATTAGTCACAAAAAGTTATAATATAAAAAAATGTCACACAAAAGTTATGAAAGTATGCGACACTCATGCGAGTTTCTTGCCTCTGGTGGATTCGAAGTGCTGGCCGACCGAGCATCTAGCAACTGCAAAATAAATAGAACATCGTCGACGTTTTTCCATCAAAAGTCGGACATCATAATCCCTAACAATTTAATCTACACTCGCACTCGTGGCGCTCAACGATTTCCTGTGAGAATTTAGTATAATAATTTTTTTTATCCGCGCTATGACTTTTTTGCACTTTAATTCCCCGTCCTACTTCATTTTTACCTCGCTTCGTTGGGAACTGCAGTTGTCTGAGTTGTTGTTTGTCTCAATGAGAATGAATTATATAGCACATTATTCGCAAGAGAATAAAAATTGTGACTTTTAATATTAGATTAGAAGCTCCCTGCGTTGTCAGTCATTTTTTTCATTTATAATTTCTATGATGATTTTCATCTTTAATAACAATTGGATAACATGTATCAACTATTTTTACTTCTATATAGTATATGTATTTTTACTTCTATATTATTTTAATTCTAAATGTAAGTATGTTTTGGATTAAGATTTAAATTAACATCCAAATTTAATATCTAGACCAGGTGAATCGATTTTGCGGTTAATTTAAGCCGATCTTAATTTATCAAGACGTTTTAACTTTTAGTATAATTTATAAAAATAATTAGCTAATGTTTAAAATAATATATTATAAAAGTATCTTAGAGTACGTTTCGAATTACACATGAAGCGCATAATGTATCATTTATTTTGTTATTCTCCAAATAATAAAGAAGAATAAAATGATGCATCATGCGTTTCAGGCGTTACTCAGAACCCTTAATATATTTGATAATTGATAAATTAAGTATAAAAATTTTGAATATAAGAAATGCAATATACTATAAATTTTTTAATAAAAATTTCCGAATTAATGGAATCAGGACATTAATAATTAAAAAAACGAAAGAGGAAATGTATATTTTGAAGTTAATCGTGAAATTCACGATGTTGACTTACGATTAAGAGACGTAGAAAATGCCAAAAGGATCACGAAGATAAAAAACCTGTTGTCCTGCATTTCTGTGACTCTCGATGATCGAAATTCTAAGTAGACGATATGAAGTTTAGAGTCGCACTGAATGTCTCCTGTGACTCGACGTCCGATTTTATACCTTGCGCCCTCCACCGCCACTCTGCTCGATTATGAACCTGCCACCCCACAGTTCAAACCCCTTGTCGTAGAGCATCCTCGTGTCTCGCCCCTACTCCTTGCGAAATCGATGTATTTTTCGCGAAATCGGCCCACATCCAGACATCACACACACACACACACACACACACACACACACACACACACACACACACACACACATGCGCGCGCGCACGCACGCACAATGAAAGCGCACAAAGAAAGAAAAAAGAAAGTAAAAAGAAAGTAAAAAGAAAGAAATATTCACGCAAAAAAATATTTTGCCATTCCAGTTATAGCTGTTTTTTGTATGATAGAAAATTATGTATGTCATACACATAGAATTTATAGCACAAATCTAAATTCTATCTTTGTCATCTATATGATACAATACATATACAATATCGCAGTACTTACTAGAAATTTATCTTTAATAGCTATTTTAGCTATTTTTCGTACTTAGATAATTTTCGCTATAAGTGCAAGATTATTTTTTTGAATGATTTAGGAATAAGAATAAATATTAAATAGTAAAAAAAAAAATATAGGAATAAAGATTGATATGAACGTAATGCATAATATGAATTCATATAGATAAGAGATATATAATAAATCTTATCTTTCTCTCTCATTTTCATATTTTATCCATTTACATTTATTGTGCATTACGTTTAATTTCATTGTTTAATTGTTTAATTTATACTTGTTTAATTTATACTTCTAATTTTTTTATTCTCTAATATTTAATATTTATTCCTGTTGTATAATATCTATTAATATCCATTGTTCGTTACGTTTAAACTCTATTCTTAATTTTTTAGTTTTTTAATATTTAATATTTATTCTCATTTCTAATAGTTCTCCCATTGTACATAGGGCTTTATACTATATGTATAACGTATTTTATCCTTTTTTTTTGCGATCTACTTAAAACGTCATTAGACTTTTTCCAAAGACAAAGTCATTATTTCAATCTCATCAATTATAATTTAGAAATCTGAGATATAATCAAAATTTTCAATTTATTTAAGGATATTTTATACATATTTTCAAAATGATAACAAAATTATGAAAAAATTACAAAAATTAGTCAACATTTAAAAATAATATGACAAATTTGAAGACGGTTTACTACTCTGAATCATAAATTATTTTAGTAAAGGGTAGTATTTTTTTAATCTGTGCTCTAATAAAAATGTATGAAAATGTATTAAAAAATAAATAACAAAAATCTCACAATTTTTTAATATAAACTTTTTAATATAAACAAAATGTATTCAAGATTATTTATATATAGAGTTACATTGCGATACATAAACTAGTTACCCAATAATATTTTACACAAACAAAATATTTATTTGTTCTATAATTTTGTAACTAATCAGTGACTCGCAATGAAACTTTGCATAAGTTACTTTGAATATTTAAAGAATTAATAAAAAAAAATTTAGATATTTTTGTTACCATTTTTTAATTTTAATTTTTAATAACAAAAATAATAACAAATAAGAATAAATAAATGACAAAAATGTAATTAAATAATATTAATAATGTTATTAAATAAAAATGTAATCTTATTCACACAACTTTCATATGTATATAGTTTATTTGAAGTGTAAATATTAAATACATCTCCAAAGTTAATTTTCTTTGCAGGGGACTGTACGTGTGACACATCCTAAATAGTAAAATTTCTACAGAACGTGTGAAATTATTTCCTTATAAAGACAATGAGCCAATTTGCTTGATCAAATATGCAATAAAGATGTGATCTATATTATGAATTTTTTACAATATACATGGGGCAGAAACATCATTTTATTAATGTACAATATTTGCAACTTCCAATAATAATTTTCAAAAATTTTCTATATACGTTGTAGATATACATATATTATATCCGCTACTTTATGCATAATAATGTTATAATACTTTATGCATAATAACATTTTATGCATAATAATATTTTATGCATAATAATGGAAACATATATTATTAATTTTTATGACACGATCAATTCATTTCATACACATGATCCTTAAGGGATCGGCAAGACTGATTTACCAAAAAAAAAGTTCTCAAACGCACTTTTAAAATGTACCAGCAAGAACACCGCGTGCGACATCAATTATTATATCGGGTATAGTAATTCGGTCGATGCCGACGTAGGTGTAAAAGGAGGCCGGCATTACGATGATGCAGGATAATATATAGATTTATGTATGCGTGATGAGATTATCACGCGACAGATTATAACGCATTATTTGTGCGTGACATTTTCTCGACACGTTTTCTCGTGCGATCTTTCACTGAGAGTAATCTCCCTAACGCGTGTTCTCGCGATGCTTTTTCACGCTATTCTTGCACGTCCGGTTACAACTGGATACTTCCGATTTGATAGAGGCAGAATATGGTTCTTCAAAAATGTATAGAAAAAATGTCAACACCAGGCAAAGTCAATTTACCTTTTAAAAAAAAAAAAAAAAAGTTAGGTATTCATAACTTTAGATAAAACATAAATAATTCGTAGGTATATTACCTTCTCAGAACTAACATGTGCAAATATGATAATATATTTATATATTTAATATATTAAATTATTATAAACGATAATATATTAGTATTTATTTATATATTAGTATTTATTATCGTTTATGTAGTAATTTAATATAAATATATTATTAATGTTCTTACACATGTCAATTCTGAGGGAAAAAAATTTATATGGAATAATCTTTTCACACAGAGAGAATTATCTTTTAAAATTTATCTTCAAAATTTATCCTCAAAATATAGTAGTTGTGGTACAATACAATATTTTAAAGATTTGTATCATGCATTTCAGTAAAATTAATCAAACTTATTTATACTTTATTGTAGTTTTATTAATAAATGTGAGAGAGATTAAAATTCTTCGAAATACAATGTTATCCGACTATCATAAATTTAAATTCTAAGAAAAAATTCTCTCGGTGCATGAAGAATTTTTTCGGAGTAAAGCGAGAAGTCAATTTAATTGCAAAATAAGAAACAAAAAAATTGGAGATATAGACAGAATAAAGGTCTTTTAAATTATAAAATCTTGATTTTAATAAAAATTGAAATAACTTGCTACTTTTTTATTATACACAAATTAGTACAGTATTAAATGAATGTCATTAAGAAGTTAAATGTTACAATATTTATCTATTACAATCAATATTACATAAAAAAAGCTCATCTCCAAAAAATTCTTTAACAAGAATTGTATCTTTATTTGCTCTCAATTAATAAACAATTCTACATTAATCGTACGATTAATGTAAATTATAAACCATTAATACAAAAGTAAAGGGCTCTAAATAATAACAATTATAATGAAATAAATCTTCGATTTTAAGAAAATAGATCTGAATATCAAATTCATGTAATTTAGAATATATAAAATAATTTTACATATCAAGTACTGCAATTGGTTCTTTAATACTCTGTAAACTTATTTCATTATAATTGAAGTTATAAACGTCATTTATCAATTTTATTTTCTAATAAGTTATCTTGCGAAGAAATAAAGTGCGATTGATACGTTTAAAATTTATTTTGCAAAAGTCACAATGTATATGCGGAAAATTAGATAAATCAGTGACTTATTGTTTCATGTATAAAGTAAGGCTTCCACATATTTTCACAGTTTAATTTATTTTCGATGGACACGATATACTGCTAGTGAACGTTTCATTTGTATGCGCATAACGGCTCATTTAAATATAAAGGAGTGTCGATGAGGATCGTATCTAACGTTTAACGCCGGTTTACCATTTAATTAATTGTACACGTGTATACGGATATGAATAGGGACACAGATATGGAGACATGCGACATGTATTCAGTAAATTTATTTTAAACGAAAAGAGTCGTATAGATTGAATTTCTCGAAGATTTTGATTAATGCATATGATGAGATTGCGTTTTTCATTAGTCGATAATGTTTTACATCGCTAGGGAAAAGTAGTTTAATGCCGAAAAAATGACGAGAAAGATTATTATATCATGCCACGATGATCTCTTCATTCAATATTACGAACAATAAGTAAAAAAATAAGTCTATTTGGACTTGACAATAAAATGTTATTTTTGCCTATACATTATTTTTGGCACCTGAATAAAAGATTTTAATTGTAATATCCTATTTTAGTAGCTTGATGACAATAGCATGCTTCATCAAAGAGATATTAATCTCCGATCTAACACTTTAATTACTAAAGATAATTAGCAACATTCTTTATAGATAATAATAGACAAACGTAAATATCTCACAAAATTAACTAATCTAAAATAGACTTTCCTAGACTTCTTGTTTTATAAATCTGTGAAAACACTATTGTAATAGTTTGAAAAAAAAAATGTAAAAAAAAACGGTATAGATAAAATAGAAAATTATACCCATCCATTTCTTATATTTATTGAAAACATAAAAATATATTTTCAATAAATTTAATTTATATGGATAAAGAATATTTTCAGGTAGATCGAATAAAGAAATACTATTTCAATTTTTGTTTTTATATGACTGTATTTTTACAATATAAAATATTTGTTCTATATCTTTCAAAAATAAAATATATTTTAATAGAAAGAAAGTGATAATATATATTATCATTATCTATGTATTCTACAAAATGTATAAATAAAAATTTCAGTCTCTCGATAAGAATACATAAAATCCCATGATTATGCTCCAATATTCTTTATTAATCATCAACAATCTTCTTTAAGATATGTGTGACACCATATTGATATATGGCAGCATTAATTTTCTTTAATTTGTTAATCTCTTTCTGTAGATCGTCCAATTTCTTCGACATCTGATCCGATCCTCGAGAATCGCTACTGCCTTCTATATAAGATTCGAAGTTCAGGATCTCCGCCGAATTTCGTCCTCTGGAGACGACCTCGACGACGTTCTCTCTGCCACCATCGTCTGATGTCCTCTGTAAACTTT